CTCCTCCTCCTCCTCCTCCTCCTCCTCCTCCTCCTCCTCCTCCCCATCTCGAGGTGAAGCGGGCGTCGCTGGAGGACGGGCAGCTGGCCCACGTCGCCGATTCGATGCTGAAGGAGGGCGCCGCCGCGGAGCGCCTGCTGGCCGACACGGAGCGGCAGGCGAAGAAGCAGGAGACCGCGGGAGCGGTGCCCTGCTTCTCGGCGGCGGGCGAGGGGGGGAAGTGAGAAGGAAGGGGTCCGAGGTCCGAGGTTCAAGGTTCGAGGACGCCTTCGTCGGTTCGCGCCGGTTTTCCAGCCTGGGGATGCGTTTCAGCGGCTGCACCTCGGCGAGAGCGTTCCGGGGGTTCGGGATCGTTCCGAACGGCCGCCGGAGAGCCGAGCTATGACCCAAAACGCAACTTCGGCGGTGCCTCTGGGGGGAGGTTGGAAGGGAAGGCCTTCTCAGAAGGCGGCAGGGCGTCTCGGAAGCCCCCGCGCCTTTGAGAGGTTTTCTGTGCCTTCGGGGAAGGCTTAGAAAACTGTGCAGAAGGCTGGGAAACTTCGAGCCTTCTGGGAAGGCCCGCCCTTTCTCACTTCCCCCCCGCCGTCGCCGCCAAGAGCAGGAGGTCGACTGCAGAATTGATCCATCTCGAAATTGAGACGTTCGTCGAACCGTCCAAGGAAAATCAGGGAACGCTCGTAGGCCTAAGAGCGCTCTCTGTATTTCTCCGTAGCGTCGACTAGAATCTCATTTCGGGGGGCAACTCGATTCTGAGCTCGGCCGTGCGCCGGCGGCCGGAGCGCCCTCCTCTGGTTCCTCGCCCTCCTCCAGCTTCGCCCCCTCGTCCTTCGCCTCCTCCGCCTCCGCTGCCGGCAGCCGGAGCTCGCCGAGCGCCAAGAGCAGGAGGTCCCCGGCAGAATTGGTCCACTTCGGCTTTGAAACGTTCAGGAGGGGAAAAAACACACAGACACAATTAATCGGCGATTCCCCAGGAAATATGGGAAAATATGGGAAGTGGGGGGGAGGCAAAAACCCAGAAAATATAGGAAAATATGGGGGATCTGTTTATTTGTGTGTATTTATTCAATCGCTTCGCTCATTCCGCCGGCCCATGTTGCATGATCGCTACTGCTTCGCCGTGGGCCCGGGGCCATTGTGGCGCCGCCGAGGAGGAAGAAGATGAGGATGGGGAAGGGGAGGGGAGGAGGAGGAGAGGATGAGAAGGAGATGAGGAGGATGAAGATAAGTAGGAGGAGGAGGAGGAAGAGGAAGGGGCGGAGGAGGAAGCCTCTCGTTGGCATCTTGTGTTGCTCTTGGGGCCAAACAGGGTCGTCGTCAAGATGCTTCTCTGGGAGGCCTCTTGGGGTCTTTTCAGAAGCCGTTCGAGGGCGCCTGGGAGGCATTTTTGAAGTCTTCTGGGGGGCCTCCTGGGGGCCTCCTGGGACCTCTTGGGGGCCTCTTGGCGGCATCTTGGGGCCTCTTTGGGGCCTCTCGGGGCCTCCTGGGGCCCTCTTGGGGCGGAAGGCTCGAGGTTTTGGTTCGTGGTCCCCCTCTTGGGCCCCTCTTGGGGCCGTCTTGGGGCCGTCTTGGGCCGTCTTGGGCGCCTCTTGGGTCGTCTCGGGGCCCTCTTGGGCCCTCTTGGGGCCCTCGTGGAAGCCTCTTGGCCCGTCTTGGGGTGCTCTTGGGGGCCTCCTGGGCCGTCTTGGAGCATCGGATGGCCGAAAAGGGGACAAGGCCCAAATTCTTTCAAAACCATCGTAAAATGTCTGATTTGGGCCTCTCAGGGCCCTCTTGTGAGGCCTCTTGGAGGCCACTTGGAGGCCTCTTGGGCCGTCTTGAGGTCATCATCGGCGTCTTGGAGCGCTCTTTAGGCGTCTCGGGGGCCCTTTGGGCAGTCTTGGGGGCCACTTGGGGCACTCTTGGCGCGCTCTGGGGGGCCTGAGAAGCCACACCCAGGAGGAAAACCATCTCTGAGTAGCAGTGGTCGGGCGGCTGTCGGGGTACTTTTCGCCGGGGGACCCCCAGGAGCCGCCCCGCGCGCGCGAACTAGAAGTATTGTTTAGCAGTTACCGGAGATCTTAGCACGCCTTTGGCCCGTTGGGCCGGCGAATTTGTGTGTCCTAATTTCCCTTTAGAAGCGTTCGTCGGTCGGGGCAGTGGCGCGCGGAGCTCCTCTCCAGCTCGGCGGGGTGGGGGCGCGCCTGCCGGCGCTCGGCGCGGTGGGCCCGCGGCGGCTCGGTGGCCACCTCTCGGCGGCGAAGCTCGCGCCCTGTACCCTTGAGTCGAGCACGTCCCTCTACAAGAGCAGCTGGGGCCTTCGGTGGAAATCCCCATGGGGCCACGAAACGTGTGAGGGATGTGCCGAAATGGGTGTTGGGGAGGCATGCGGACCCTGCCACTGGGGCCTTCGGTGGAGCTCCTTATGGGGCCACGAAGCGTGTGAGCGGTGTGCCGAAATGGGTGGTGGGGAGGCAATGATCAAAAAATAGTCAGTGGATGATTTTTTTTCCCAGTGTGTTTGGGAAATGTTTGCATCTGTTTTGGCTATGTTAGAAAACTGTTGTCTGCCAAGGTCCGCCTGCAGGAGGGCATGCCCGACCTGACCCTACCCTAGCCGATCAACGGTCCTGGCAACTCGATTCGGAGGAGAGAAAAAACAACTGCATACACATAAGTTCCTGGCGCCCCGCGCGGGTTTCTTGGATCCGCGCTACCCCCCCCCCCTCCTTTGGCGGCGCCTCCGGCGCCTCCCCTGGCGCGCTCCGCGCGCCGCGCGCCAGGGAGGGGGGCCCTGGCGCAGACCCTCCTCCTCCTCCTCCTCCTCCTCCTCCTCCTCCTCCTCCTCCTCCTCTCTCCCTCCTCCTCCTCCTGCTCCTCCTCCTCCTCATCCTCCTCCTCCTCCTCCTCCTCCTCCCCCTCCTCCTCCTCCCCCTCCCTCCTCCCTCCCAAGAAATCCGCGCGGGCCATCAAAAGTCTACCCTGGGTTGCTTAACACGTAAGGGTGAGGGGTACCTCCCCCGACGGGGGTAAGCCTCGCCTCGTCGTCGCGCCGCGACGGGGCTCGGAGCGCCTTCGGCGCGCGGTGGCCGCCCGCGACGGGGGTCGATGTGGGGCTGTCGGCTGGGGTGACGCCCCCTCGACGCTTAGCAAGAAACTCGTAGTAGGATTATTATGTTTGTTGTTGTTCCTCTACCGTTAAGTCGGGCCTGTCCCTAGGCAAACTCGACAATAGTCAAAAAGTGGTACGGGGACGATTTTTCCATTAGTTTTGACCATTTGTGCAGCAGAGCCTGGCCCTGCGCGCGGCGAGGGTGGCCGGCACCTCAGGGCCTCAGGGGTGATTACTCGCGCGTTTATGCTGTCCCAGAGCGCTCCAAGAATACAAACCACCACCGCGTCGATTCCTCCTCCCCCCTCCCCCATCTTCGCTCTCTTCCTCTCCTCCCTCTTCCTCTCCTCTCTCTTCTTTCTCTCCTCTCTCTTCCTCTCCTCTCCTCCTCTCTCTTCCTCCTCCACCCGCATCTTCCTCTCCTCTCTCCTGGGAGGGGAGGGGATGAGGGAGGTGGTGGTGGGCCCCGAAGTCACAGAGCGCTACACCAGACAACGCACCCAATGGACCAAGCCCGCGACCGGCACGGATGGAAACAGCAAGCGCGCTGCGTGGAGAATGCGTGAAGCTCGAATAAGCAGCAGCGGCTCAGAGCGGCGCGCGCCGTAAGCCAGAGGTGACATGACCGAGTCTACCAAAAGCCTGCCTTGGCCGCGACACCTCACTCGCCTTGCGCCTGTCCGCGGGCCCGTCTTCGCGGCAGCTCCAGGGCGGGCGATTGCCAGCGGAGGCGAGCCAGTTCCCACCCCCGCACAGCATGCCCTTCAGTCCTGGGCGGCGGGGGTAGGGCTCCCGATGCGTCGAGCACGTGGCGAAGTCCGAACCCTGCCCCCGCCTTCCGTCGGCTCAGGAGCGGATCGACGGTTGGTGGGGGTAGGCTTCGGACGTTGCCACCTGGCGGCTCGGTGGCCGCCTCGTGGACGGTCCGCGCCAGGGTTCGGCCTCCGTGGCCAACGGGCCGAGGTACCACCAGCACCACCTCCCTCATCTTCCCCTTCTCCCAGGAGAGAGGGGAGGAAGGCGAGGGTGGATGAGGGACGAAGGAATCGACGTGGTGGTGGTGTATACTATGGGGCCCCGCACGAGGTCCCGTCTCGTCGGAGCTTGCCGCACGGGTTCGTTGCACATGGTCGGTTCGGCGAGCCCGGCCCCGCTCGGACGTTTCAAACAACAGGGAAATACGGCAGGTTCGCGTCGTGTCGACCAGCGGCGACCCAGCCGCGGGCGTTCAAGGTTGAACGCCGCCAGTGGCTCAGAATCGGCCTACATGGAACGATCGGGCGATCGAAAAGCCGCCGATCGTTCAAGGTTGAACGATCCACGCGATGTCAGAAACCAACGCCAGGGTCGTCACGACACGAGCTTGCCGTAAGGAGTGACGGGCGCCGCCTCCCCCCGTGGGCAACGAGCCTCTACAAGCCAGGCCCTGTTCCAGCTCCCGGTCTCGGGTGCTGCCAGGAGTGGCCTTGGCCCCGGGGTGGCCTCAGCTGTTCCAGCCAACGAAGAAGAAGCACTTCGACCCCGATACTTGGCGTTTGCTAGGCGGCCCTGGGCGTTTACTAAACAGCTCTGGCCTGTTGGATTCCTTCCCTGGGTGCGTTTACTTAACGGCTTCGGTCGTCGGGGTGCTTATCGTGGGGGTCGATCTTCGGCTCTCTATCCAGGGAGGCCCACGTGGCGCACTCTAGAATCATCTCCCCCTCGGGCGCACCCGCGGCCTCGGCGGCGGGTCTGCCAGCGGCAGGCGGCGGAAGTAAAGGTGAGACGCCAAGATGCATGGAGGATTGTAGCCCTTGGCCCCAACGACAACAATGTAGGCGTGGCCTAATCAGAGGAGGTGTGGAAGGACTTGATTGTGATCCCGTGCAAACCAGAAGACCGAATCGATCCCCGGCGATTGAACGAGCGGCGCCCCGTCGCCGCCTCCCAGCTCCTCGCGCGGCCGCCCGTCTGGGCGCACCGGGGGGTCGCCCTGCCTCGCCTCGCCCGTCTGTGCGCCGGAGGAGGGAGGAGGGAGGAGGGAGGAGGGAGGAGGGAGGAGGGAGGATGGAGGAGGAGGAGGAGGAGGAGGAGGCGGAGGAGGAGGAGGAGGAGGAGGAGGGTCTGGCGCAGCTGCCAAGCAGCACAGAGTGTTGCCCCTCGTGTTCTGGGCTGCGCCCCCCGGGGACGCGGGGGGTTGCTGGCGGCCGAGGCTCGGGGGCCCCCGCTTCCTCCTGCTCCTCCTCCCTCCTCCTCTCCTCCCTCCTCCTCCTCTTCCTCCTCCTCCTCCTCCTCCTCCTCCTCCCTCCTCCTCTCCTCTTCCTCCTCCTCTCCTCCTCCTCCTCCTCCTCCTCCTCTCCCCCCCTCCTCCCTCCCCTTCCCCCTTCTCCTCCTCCCCCTCCTCTTCCTCCTCCTCCCCTTCCTCCTTGTTTTCCTCCTCCTCCTCCATTCCTTCTCCTCGTTAATAACTTCTCCCTGTCGCACCCCAAGGCCAGTTTTTAGGGCGGGCCAGGCGTTTCGCCTGAGACTTCGTGACCGTCTTATAACTCTGAAGCTAAAACATTAGCAGCAGCTTCACATATGGAGGACGGGTGGTTTTCAAAATGTGGCCCTCGCCTCAGCGCGGCGCACATTCTTAACAAAAAATCGCAAGAGCTTCGCGGATTGAGGGCGGGTCGTTCTCAAAATGTGGTTCTCGTCTTAGCGCGGCGCACATCCGTGCTAAACACGTGCAAGAGTTTCTCGGATTGAGGGCGGGTGGTGTCCAACATGTGGTTCTCGCTGTAGCGCGGCGCACATTCGTCTTTAATATGTGCAAGAGTTTCAAGGATTGAGGGCGTGTCGTTTTCAAAATGCGGCTCTCGTCTTGGCGCGGCGCACATTCGTTTTAAACATTTGCAAGAGTTTCACGGGTTGAGGGCGGGTGGTTTTCAAGATGTGTTTCTCGCCCCAGCGCGGTGCACATTCGTTTTTAGCATTTGTAGCAGTTTCACGGATTAAGGCCCGTTCTTTTTCGAAATGTGGCTCCCGCCGTGGCGCGGCGCACAGTCGTTTTAAATAATCTCATGCGTTGCACGGGTTCCCCTCATCAACGTGCCAGAAGTTGTGTCTTGAATGGATTCAGGATTATGCGGTCGCAACATGTATGTTGATTCGCTGTGTTGCAGTCCCAGGAATGGCGTTCTGGCACGATTCAGAATTGTCAAGACGCAGCAGTCAGGTTGATCCGTGGCGTTGGAATCCCGAGAACAATGTTTTGGCATGCTTCAGGGTCTTCAAATGCTTGTCTTCCTAAGATGCAGTTCCTTCAATGGAAGAGGGAGCTTGGAGGGAGGGTTTATTGAATCGCTTCGCTCATTCCGCCGGCCCGTATTGTGCCATCGCGGGGTCTTGGGGGGTCTTGGGAGCCCTTGGAAGCTTCGTGGGAGCTTCTTGGGAACTTTGGGAGGCCTCGTGGATGGCTCTGGGTGGGCCCTCTTGGTGGTCTCTTGGGGGGGTCTGCCTGGCCTCTTGGGGGCCTCCTGGGAGCTTCCTGGGGGTCTCTTGGGGGCCTCTTGGGGCTTTCTTGCGGCCTGTTGGGGGCCTCTTGGGGCTCTCTTGGAGGCTTCGTGGGGCTACTTGGGGGCTTGTAGGGGCATTTCGGGGGCGTGTTTGGGCGGGAGGCTCTAAATTTCCGTTCAGGTTGCCCTTGTGGACCTCAATCATGGGGCCGTCTTGGGGCCTCTTGGACCGTCTTGAGGGTTTCTTGGGCCTTCTTGGAGCGCTCTTGGGCCGTCTTTGAGCGGTCTTGAGGGTCTCTCGGGCCGTCTTGGGGTGATCTTGGGGGCCTCTTGGACCGCCTTGAAAGGTGTGAAAGACGAAGAGGCGGATATGTTAAAAATGCACGCTTTCCTAAGGGAATGAGACGATTTTTGCTTGTGGGAGCCCTCTTGGGACGCCGCTTAGGGACCTCTTGGGGCGTCTTGAAGGCCTGTTGGGCCGTCTTGAGGCCATCGTAGGCGCTTGGGGGTGATATTTCGGCGTCTTCCGGCTCTCTTGGACCGTCTGGAGGGCTTCTCGGGCCCCTCTTGGACCGATTTGGAGCCCTCCTGGGCTCCGAAAAAGAGTTCTTGAGGGTTTCTTGGGCCTTCTTGGAGCGCTCTTGGGCCGTCTTTGAGCGGTCTTGAGGGTCTCTCGGGCCGTCTTGGGGTGATCTTGGGGGCCTCTTGGACCGCCTTGAAAGGTGTGAAAGACGAAGAGGCGGATATGTTAAAAATGCACGTTTTCCTAAGGGAATGACACGATTTTTGCTTGTGGGAGCCCTCTTGGGACGCCGCTTAGGGACCTCTTAGGGAACTCTTGGGGCGTCTTGAAGGCCTGTTGGGCCGTCTTGAGGCCATCGTAGGCGTTTGGGGGTGATATTTCGGCGTCTTCCGGCTCGCTTGGACCGTCTGGAGGGCTTCTCGGGCCCCTCTTGGACCGATTTGGAGCCCTCCTGGGCTCCGAAAAAGAGTTCTTGAGGGTTTCTTGGGCCTTCTTGGAGCGCTCTTGGGCCGTCTTTGAGCGGTCTTGAGGGTCTCTCGGGCCGTCTTGGGGTGATCTTGGGGGCCTCTTGGACCGCCTTGAAAGGTGTGAAAGACGAAGAGGCGGATATGTTAAAAATGCACGTTTTCCTAAGGGAATGGGACGATTTTTGCTTGTGGGAGCCCTCTTGGGGCGCCGCTTAGGGACCTCTTGGGGCGTCTTGAAGGCCTGTTGGGCCGTCTTGAGGCCATCGTAGGCGTTTGGGAGTGACATTTCGGCGTCTCCTGGCTCTCTTGGACCGTCTGGAGGGCTTCTCGGGCCCCTCTTGGACCGTTTCGAGCCCCTCTGGGCTTCGAAAAGGGACCTTGCCGGGAGTCTGCCAGGAGTCTGCCCGGACCTTGCCGGGAGTCTGCTGGGACCTTGCCGGGGTACTTTTCGTCCGGGGACCCCCAGGGCCCGCCCCGCGCGCGCGAACTAGAAATATTGTTGAGCAGTTACCGGAGATCTTAGCACGCCTCTGGCCCGTTGGGCCGGCGAATTCCAACATCGTTGATGACTCTTGGGTTTAGTTACACTGGTCCTCCTCCTCCTCCTCCCCCTCCTCCTCCCACAGGGTTCGGGGTCCTCTGATTGCTAATCAAACGTGTCCCGTTCCTTTGCTGCTGGGGTCGGCCACATGGCCTCCACAGCACCCTCCCCCTCGCGAGGCCTGCGGCGGGCCTGATGCATTTTGAGCTAGGACCATCTGGAGGAGGAGGACGACGACGACAACGAGGAGGAGGAGGAAGATGACGAGGAGGAGGAGGAGGAGGACCACCTCTGGCAACCTCAAGTCGGTGGCCCGAGGCCACCTCGTGCCTCGTGACCCCGTCGTGGTCGCCTCGGGGTGGGCGCGCACGTCGGCTTCTGACACTCTTCGGAGGAGAGGGACATGCGGTAGGTTCGCGCCGTTTCGACCGGCGGCGACCCCGCCGTTGGCGTTCAACGGTGGACGCCGCTGGCACTCCAGAATCGGCCCATCGTTGAACGATCTGACATGTCGGAAACGGCCGATCGTTTAAGGTTGAACGATCCCCGCGGTGTCGGAAAAACCGACGCCGAAGTCGGCACGACACGAACTGGCCATTTCGACACCGACGCTCCTCCCTCGCTTTCGTCGTTTTGGGCCACGGTTGGGGGCACCACGGAGTCCCAGCCAAAGGGCGCCTCTGGAGAGGTCTTGGAAGCGACGGCATTGGTACCTTTCTGTCCCCGCCCATCAGCGATGTGGATGCAAGAGAAGTCGCCCTCATGAATGCGCAGGGGTGATCACACGAGTGTCAGCCCGGGATATGTTTTGCAGGCCTTCTAGAATTACGATCTCGCGTCGCTCGCGCATGAGCGGTTCGGTGCTCCCCCATTCCGCCGCGTCTCAGGAGAGGGACGAGGAAAGGCAGCTCGCCCAGCTGGACAAGCAGATCAGGAGGATGAAGGAGAGCGAGTTCGACGCCCAAGCCACCCTGGACCTCGCGGCCAGAATAAGCCCGGGCACGAGCGCACGCGCTCGGTCCCTTGAGGAGGTCCTTCGGTGGAGGAGGAGGAAGAGGAGGAGGAGGAGGAGGAGGAGGAGGAGGAGGAGGAGGAGGAGGAGGAGTTTCAGCAAGCTGGGGAGGACGTTTCGGAGATTTCGGCTACAACGATGTGGGTGAACGCCAGCTCGTGAGAAAGCGTCACGCGAGCCTTCTCAGAGGCCACTATGGGTGACTTGCGCGGCCCGTCTAGACCCTGATCTAATCAGCTGATTGCCCAGTTTACGTCTGTTGGTCGGTGGTTGATGTTCCAAAGGGCTCGAAGACACCACCATCATAACATCATAATGTTTTGTCCGTCTCCGACATATCGTGTCCGGTTGCATGCTAGGTGCTTCGCTGAGGCGCATGATGCGGGAGGGGTGGATCGATCTAGTATCTTGAAAAGACGCCCTTTTCCCCCATGCCCCATGCCGTATGTTCGTGTTGGGCCATTCGGAGGTGGCAGTCATCAAGCTATCGTCAGATGAACAGTGAACTTACAGGATTGTTCCTATGCTAGGTGCATCGTGCAGCGTTGCCGTCTGCTTGCAGCGTTGATGGTGATACTGATGATGATGATGATGCTGGTAATGCTGATGGTGATGATGGTGATGCTGATGCTGCTGATGCTGATGATGCAGCACATGATGTTGCTAATGATGATGATGCTGTTGCTGCTGCTGATGATGATTATGCTGATTACGATGACGATGATGATGCTGATGCTGATGCTGATGCTGATGCTGATGCTGATGTTGATGCTGCTGATGATGATGATGCTGATGCTGATGATGAGGATGAGGATGAGGATGAGGATGAGGATGATGATGATGATGATGGTGATGGTGATGATGATGATGATGATGATGGTGATGGTGATGGTGATGGTGATGATGATGCTGATGATGACGATGATGATGCTGATGCTGATGCTGATGATGATGATGATGATGATGATGATGATGATGATGATGATGATGATGGTGATGGTGATGGTGATGGTGATGCTGATGATGATGATGTTGATGCTGATGATGATGCGGATGATGATGCTGCTGCTGCTGATGATGATGCTGATGATGATGGTGATGTGGATGAGGAGGAGGAGAAGGAGGAGGAGGAGGAGGAGGAGGAGGTGAGTGCTGGACGCTACTGCTAAGGCCAGGCTGAGCATGTGTCGTTTTTTTTCAGCCGCGCGCTCCGAGACCAGAGCCGACGCGTCGCGCACGCGGGCGTCAGCCGAGGCGCGTGCGATACGGCACCACGCAAGTGATGCTGTGGCTCGGACCCTGCTGCAGAGCCCTCGCATCCTCCTCCTCCTCCTTCCTCCTCCTTCTCCTCCTTCCTCCTCCTCCTTCCTCCTCCTCCTCCTTCCGCCTCCTCCTCCTCCTCTCCTCCTCCTCCTCCTCCTCCTCCTCCTCCTCCTCCTCCTCCTCCCCCTCCTCCTCCTCCTTCCCCTCCCCCTCCCCTCCTCCTCCTCCTCCTCCTCCTCCTCCTCCTCCTGCTTCTCGGTCGCATTCGATTCTGCGTAGTGCGTCATGGGCGGAATGGCGAAACCGTCCCAGAGACGTCGGAGGCAGCACTTGCAGAGCCAGCGACCCTGGACCTGCTCCCACGGATGCCGGCTCCGACTAAGCTATGCGCAATCTGGAGACGAGTCTGGGTCGGCGGACGGGTGCGCTCGACAGGATCTGAATTCCAAGGATCTTGGGAAACCGTGTCCGCGAGCGAGTGCCCGACGCGCCTCACAAGGGCAGCCATGGCATCCCATTCGCCGGTCCGAGGCTCACTGCCGACGATGCATCGAGACGCCTTGCGGGCCGCGCCCCCAGCCGCTTTCTCGCACACACGCATTGCCCACGGCAACATTCTGAAGACCCTCATGCTCGACACGCTCAACATCATCGTCGAGGTGGCTCGGGATCCAGACAATTTCTACGTCAGCTGGGACCGAACCTCGGGCTGACAGGGCGGCTCCCACACGCACCCACAAATCACCGTTACTGCCGATGCACGAAGCGAAGCGCCTGGCGTTCCAACCGTCAAGCAACAAGCGACAATCGGTGTGGAAGCGATTCTTTCCCGTCGACCGCTAGAGACACAGGACAAGAGCGAGCAACTCTGCCCTAGGCACAGTCTGCCTGGGCCCCCGCATGAGGCCGACGATGATGGCGGCTGGCGTCCATGATCCCCCGTCTGGCCGTAGAGCAACCGCAGCAGCTCCGACTCGGCGCCGACGAGGGTTATATGTATGCGGTCCGCCAGATCCGTCGCCAAAAACATGCAGCACTTGGTCGCGCTCGGTCCTGCACTCGTCGAGTGGATCCTCGTAGGCCTCGACCCAGTCGGCCCGACACTCGTCGAACATCGGCGTCATCAGCTCGGAAGGGCACACCCCGAAGCCACAGCGCAGGATCTTGTGCCCATCCAGCACGAGCACGAGCAACCAGTCATGTGCTTGCATCAAAATCTGCATGGTCCGTATTGCACGGCAGGTCCAAATGTGGTGAAACAACGTCTGTTGTTCTGATTGACACCGTTGGCACATCGTATCCCGCCTGCTGCTGGCGTTCGCGGGTCCATTGGCCTCCGCTGACCACGACGGCGATCTGAGCCCACAGGTCGAGGTCACCTTTGGCCATGTGACTCTGGAGCTCCCGCTGCACGTGCATCATGTCGGCGCCATTGACGAGGTTGTCGCCAGCAGGGTGCAGAGCAGCACGGTGCCACATGCGACAACGGAAGCCGCCGACCATGTCCTCGAGCAGTTAGGAGGCGTCGGCGACAGCACACCCATCGTCTTCGGGTCCAGGGATGAGCCACTCGTCCACTGAGTCGGGCCCCGTGGGTCGCACCAACCGCTGAGGCGACTCAGGGCGCCAGTCGGTGTCCAGCAGTACGGCGATGACGGCAGCAGTCGGCCAGCGGACGCGACGCCACCGACAGGGCCCCGCCCGAGTGAGGACAGCCAGCAGTCGGGGCCACGCGCGTCGGACGCGCGCGTGGATGTCGTGTCGGGTCCGCCACAGCTCCAGCCACTAGCTGACCACCTGCCGCCTGAGCTCCAGCCCTGGGTCGCGCGGCCCGCAGAGGACGGCTGGCGTCGACTTCGAGCAGCGGCCAGGGCCCTGGCCGACGGCAGCCGCCGCAGCGGCGCGGCGCAGCTCCAGCAAGGACGACGGCGCCAAGCCAGCAGCCTGGTGGCCGCAGGCCGCCTGCGGCTGCGCGCCAGTCGTCCACAGCAGCTTGGTGATCTTTGCCACGCGGACCTCCTTCCGCATCCGCAGGATCCTGGCGAGGCGCCCTCCAGCAGCATGGCAACACCCCTTGGCACGCCGCTTGCACCGCCGCCGCCCACGCGCCGTGTCCACGCCCAGGTCGACCGCCCGCGGGGCGAACGATGTGGGAACACCCAGCCGTCCAAGCCCAGGGGCCATCGACCGCGCCAAGGCGAGGTCGGAGCACACCAGGACCGACTTGCTGGACACGACGAGGCCAGCCTGGTCGAGGCCCTCCTTGAGAGCGACCGCTGACTTGTAGTTGTCGGACGTAACCATCCGGCTGGTCCCGGCGGCTCCGTTGAAGAACGTCCACAGTTGGGCTCGCTCACAGGCGCGGTGCGCCCGAGCGATCACGGGCCCGAGGAGCACCTTATGCCGCCGTGGCAGGACCCCGCCACAACGGACCCTTTGGCTTGAAACCGACGTCCGAGCCAGGCGCGTTGACGGAGGTGGCGGGGACCTGCGAACAGTTGCACCTTCATGGTCGCGACGATCGTTGGGAAACCGTGCTGCGCGGCTGCGGCCAGCATGCGGACGAATGAGATCGAGTCGTAGAATTTCTCGATGTCGAGGAGAAGGGTGGCCGTGGTCCAGCCGTTCTCGACGTCGCACTCGTCCATGCATGCGCGACATACAGCAGCGCGAAGAGCTGACGACCCTCGGATGGCCATGTCCCACCACTCGGACTGCGAGTCGCTCCACTCGTGTGTCGCCGCTGCTCGGATCTTCGACCACAGCTTGCGAGTCGTGGAAAGCTTACTGATGATCCCTTCACCTCCAGAGCGCTTGGGAATGGCGCAGCCGATCGCCGCCGACAGCTGCCACGGCCATGCCCCCTCCGCCTCGCAGGAGTTGAGGGGCGCCGCCAAGTTCTCAACCCCCTGACCGGGCATGCGCTGGAGGTCTGAGGGGCTGAGGTTGTCGATGCCGCGAGCCCTGCCCGAGCTCATGCGGCGTAAGCCGTCGCGGACCTGGTCGCAGCTGATGTAGTTCCTCCTGCCGTGCGCGGCGCAGGGTCTCGTTGAGCGCGGCCACGAACCCCTCCTGGTCGAAGGTTGGGTCCTTCCACACGCGTTCCCACTGCAACGTCTTCTGCTCCATGATGGTGTCGGGATGGGCAACGGACCGAGACGCCGCGTCGCCGTCGGCATCCACCCCAACACGACAGTTCTCCAGCTGCTTCTTCTTCCAGGATTCGTCGGCCCACCGTTTGTAACCGTTCCGAGCTCGCTGGAGGCTCCGGCCCTCGATGCTGAGACACCACCCGTCGGTGACCGCCGACAGAAGCTTGACATTCTCGAGGCATGGCGATGACTGCTGTAGGAAGATGCTGGCGTGCATGCGCCACTCGTTGGCCTCCTGCGTGAGGCACTGGCCGAAATTCTGCTGGTGGTTGTTCTCCGCTTTTCGAGCCCGTCGGAGAGGAGCGGCCTGGGCAACACACGCTCGCTGCTGCTGGAGGTCGGTGACGTTCGTCAGCAGAGCGACAATGCGAACCAGCAGCGTGTTGAGCAACAGCCAGCCGTCCACGACGGGGTCAAGTAGGTGTGCGCTGCCAGGAGTGGACTTCATCCTGCGCTCCTCGATGCGGTAACCTTGGCGCCGCCCTTTCATGGCGGCGGCGCTTCGCTCGTGGACCTTCTCGGCACTGATCAGCGCGTCCTCGAGGGTGCCGGCCCACTGGGCGTAGAGTTTCGAGTTGCGGTCGGTGGCCGACGGGGAGCGGGAGAACAAGGAGTGGTCTTGTTCCGCAGGGCGCTGAGCGCCAGGCCGTTGTCCACGAACGGCATCAGCGCAGCGAGACCAGAGATCTGGATTCAAGGCGTACTTGACGTCGTCGGCCTTGGGCAGCTTGTCAGGGCTGTCCGTAACACGCTACGAAAGCAGCTCGCCAGGCCCACCTCCAGGCTTGACGCGTCCCTGTGGTGACGTGCGGGAGGAGTCGGGTTCTGGCGAGCCAGGGCGGACTTCAGGGCCTCCGCTGGCGGGGCGGGGCCTCCCTCGTGCCAGCTCGTCCCCCCTTGACGGCGCAGGGCGTTGCCGTCCGTCCCCCCGTCGTTGTCCTGGTGAAGTTGGACCTGCAGCGCTCCGCGCGAGCAAGCTGCTGCGGAGCAGACAGCGCCACCCCGCTTCTGCTCAGCTCCCTCGACCGTCTCGGCGGTGACATCAGCGACGCTACAGCACGGGGCAGCAGTCTCTCCAATTGCCTGGGAGGGGAAAGAATGAGAAGAGGAGGAGGAGGAGGAGGAGGTTGGAGTAGGAGTAGGAGTAGGAGGAGGAGGAGGAGGAGGAGGAGGAGGAGGAAGATGACGGCGACGACTTGTGAGAGGAGGAGAAGAATGAGGGATGAGGAGGCTGAGGTCCTCCGCTTCCTCTTCGTTCGTTTTTTTTTCCGCCACAGGAAGAACAGAAGGAGGAGGAGGAGGAGCATGGAGACGGGTTGATCGTGGGAGGGAGGTCGCGAGGCAGGGGTGGCGTGGAGGAGGGGCGTCGGAGAGGGTGAGCAGGATGAGGAGGATTGGGGAGCAAGATGATGTTGCTGATGATGCTGAGGATGAGGGTGAAGATGAGGATGTCGAGGACGATGACGATGACGATGATGACGACGACGACAATGATGATGGCGGTGATGCTGCTGATGATGCTGATGATAATGACGATTGATGGTTGATGGCTGGTGATTGATGATCGGTGATTGGTGATGATGAGGAGGATGAGGACGACGACGACGAGGACAATGGTGAGGGCGTATGGGAGGGATTTTTTTGGATTGCGCGGTCGATGAAGCCAAGGCCTGTCGACAGTGGGCGGCGTTGCAACTAGCAGAATCTTTAGCAGGACTAAAAGGCTGCACGGGCACCAAGTAGACAAGTACAGTACAGTGCGATGGGACCCCCGCGACAGAGCGGACGGAACGCGTCGAACCGAAGCAAGAAGTCCAGGCCCTCCCAAACCTCAACACTCATCTCCTCACTACCCCCCATAATAGGCAACTGGACGGCAAACGCTAAAGGCGGCGGCAACATATGACGTGCTGTGCCTCGTCCAGGGCACTCGGGAGGGGGGGAAGGAGGGAGGGAAGGAGGGAGGACGGAGGGAGGCGCGAGGCTGGGATGAGGACGAGGATGCTACGCAAACTTGAGAAACAGAAGGAGCATCGGCGAGAGAAGGACAAGGGGGGGGGGCAACGACGAAGGGGGAGGAGCAGGGACGCGCGGGGGTAGGGAGGAGGGCGGCGACGTGCAGGATGGCGGCAGGCCGAGCAGGAAGAAGACGACGACGACGACGAGGAGCCAGAGGAAGCAGGAGGAGGACAAACAGTGGGGTTCATTAGCGGTCCTGCGGCTCTGGCCCCCGAAGGACTGGAAGTCCAAGGCGCGGAAGGCGGAGAACATGGCGCGGGTGCGGGCGAGGGAGGAGGACGCCCGCAGTCGAACCCCCCCCATCGAAGATGAACAAGTGGCGTACACAAAATTTTGGAGCTCCGCGCGGATGTCTTGGATCGGCGCTGCCACCCCCTCGGTGGCGCCTCGGGCGCCGCCCAGGAAGGGGCTTCGCACACCGGGGAGGGGTCCCAGCTCAGACCAAAAAATCCGCGCGGAGTTCCGACGTTTATGCTTACGCAGCCATTTCTTCACATCGGGGAAGGCCACCCGCCCTCCAGAGCGCTGTGGACAAGATTGACCAGGCGCGCCAGCAGTCTTACAGTACATTCGCCGTACCTGCTCCCGAGCAATCCTCACAGTCAACCCGTATAATAGGAGAGCACGATCAGGATGCAGTTGTCACAGAAGGCCATGCCGACGCGTTGCGTGCGATCTGTGAAACTGTCGCCACTTTCGAGGCCTGCTGGGGGGCCCAGCACAGTGACGCCACGGGCGGATTCAAATTAGACCTCGCCATCCCTGGGGGGCTGCGATCTGTGAAACTGTCGCCACTTTCGAGGCCTGCTGGGGGGCCCAGCACAGTGACGCCACGGGCGGATTCAAATTAGACCTCGCCATCCCTGGGGGGCTGCGATCTGTGAAACTGTCGCCACTTTCGAGGCCTGCTGGGGGGCCCAGCACAGTGACGCCACGGGCGGATTCAAATTAGACCTCGCCATCCCTGGGGGGCTGCGATCTGTGAAACTGTCGCCACTTTCGAGGCCTGCTGGGGGGCCCAGCACAGTGACGCCACGGGCGGATTCAAATTAGACTTCGCCATCCCTGGGGGGCTGCGATCAGCGTCTCGAGGGCCTCTTGGGGCATCAGTTTGGCCTCTCCAGCCCTCTTGGGGGCACATCGGGGGCGCCCTTGGAGCCATCTTTGGGCGGAGGGCTCAGAATGTGAATTCGCGTGCCCCTCTTGGGCCCCTCTTTTTGGGGCGTTCTTGGGCGCCTCTTGGGTCTTCTTGGACGCTCTACCATGCCAAGGCGAGAGCCACATTTTGAAAACGACCCGCCCTCAATCCGTGAAGCTCTTGCCACTGTGCCAAGCGAATGTGCGCCGCGCGAAGGCGATAGCCACATTTTGAAAAAGGAACCGCTCTCAATCCGTGAAACTCTTGCAACTGTGTCAAACGAATGCGCGCCGCGCTAAGGCGAGTGCCACATGTTGAAAACGATCCACCCTCAATCCGCGAAGCTCTTGCAAGTTTAAAAAACAAATGTGCACCGCGCTAAGGCGAGAACCACATGTTGAACACCACACGCCTTTAATAGTTGAAACTCTTGCAAAGTTCAAAGAAGAATGTGCGCGGCGCAAAGGCGAGAGCCACATTTAAAAAACGGCTCGCCCGCAATCCGTGAAGCTCTTGCACATGTTTAAAACGAGTGAGCGCCGCGCTAAGGCGAGAGCCACATTTTGAAAACCACCCGCCCTCCATCTGTGAAGCTGTTGCCAAAGTTAAAGCTTCAGAGTCATAAGTGGTGAGGAAGTCTCAGGCGACCCCCCGGACCGCCCTAAAAATTGGCCCCGGGGTGCGACAGGGATAAGTTATTTTCCAAGGAGAAGAAATGGAGGGAGAGGAGGAGGAGGATGAGGAGGATGAGGAGGATTCCATTTAGCGCTGATTCCTGTGTGGGTAGACATCACCCTGTCGATTGTGGCTGGGTCTGATGGGCTCTCCAGTCCTTGGAGGGTGGTGCAGGTGAGGGTTGTGGAGCCCGCCGTCTGATCACTCATGTGGCGCACGGTGCATCGGCCCGTCCCGCCACCGTGCCTGGGTTGTGGGTCAGGAGCCCCTTCGGATACCTGCGGGGATCTGTTGGGACAGTTTTCTTCGGAATCCTCTTGGAGGCGGTTTCGGGAGCCTCTCGAAAGTGTTTGGAAAAGTTTTCGGAAGTCTCGTGAACGTGTTTTGGGGCGTCTCGAGGGCCTCTTGGGGCATCAGTTTGGCCTCTCCAGCCCTCTTGGGGGCACATCGGGGGCGCCCTTGGAGCCATCTTTGGGCGGAGGGCTCAGAATGTGAATTCGCGTGCCCCTCTTGGGCCCCTCTTTTTGGGGCGTTCTTGGGCGCCTCTTGGGTCTTCTTGGACGCTCTACCATGCCAAGGCGAGAGCCACATTTTGAAAACGACCCGCCCTCAATCCGTGAAGCTCTTGCCACTGTGCCAAGCGAATGTGCGCCGCGCGAAGGCGATAGCCACATTTTGAAAAAGGAACCGCTCTCAATCCGTGAAACTCTTGCAACTGTGTCAAACGAATGCGCGCCGCGCTAAGGCGAGTGCCAATTGTTGAAAACGATCCACCCTCAATCCGCGAAGCTCTTGCAAGTTTAAAAAACAAATGTGCACCGCGCTAAGGCGAGAACCACATGTTGAACACCACACGCCTTTAATAGTTGAAACTCTTGAAAAGTTCAAAGAAGAATGTGCGCGGCGCAAAGGCGAGAGCCACATTTAAAAAACGGCTCGCCCGCAATCCGTGAAGCTCTTGCACATGTTTAAAATGAGTGAGCGCCGCGCTAAGGCGAGAGCCACATCTTGAAAACCACCCGCCCTCCATCTGTGAAGCTGTTGCCAAAGTTAAAGCTTCAGAGTCATAAGTGGTGAGGAAGTCTCAGGCGACCCCCCGGACCGCCCTAAAAATTGGCCCCGGGGTGCGACAGGGAGAAGTTATTTTTCAAGGAGAAGAAATGGAGGGAGAGGAGGAGGAGGATGAGGAGGATGAGGAGGATTCCATTTAGCGCTGATTCCTGTGTGGGTAAACATCACCCTGTCGATTGTGGCTGGGTCTGATGGGCTCTCCAGTCCTTGGAGGGTGGTGCAGGTGAGGGTTGTGGAGCCCGCCGTCTGATCACTCATGTGGCGCACGGTGCATCGGCCTGTCCCGCCACCGTGCCTGGGTTGTGGGTCAGGAGCCCCTTCGGATATCTGCGGGGATCTGTTGGGACAGTTTTCTTCGGAATCCTCTTGGAGGCGGTTTCGGGAGCCTCTCGAAAGTGTTTGGAAACGTTTTCGGAAGTCTCGTGAACGTGTTTTGGGGCGTCTCGGGGGCCTCTTGGGGCATCAGTTTGGCCTCTCCAGCCCTCTTGGGGGCACATCGGGGACGTCTGGGGCGCCCTTGGGGCCATCTTCGGGCGGAGGGCTCAGAATGTAAATTCGCGTGCCCCTCTTGGGCCCCTCTTGTTGGGGCGTTCTTGTGCGCCTCTTGGGTCTTCTTGGGCGCTCTACAGGCCATACAGAGGCAATGTGATTCTGACGATTCTGGCCTCTTGGGCCGCCCTTCATGGCCTCCAAGACGGCCCAGGAGGCGCCCAAGTGGGCTCCAGGACGGTCCTCAGGGTCATCAGTGGCCATGTGGGACGTGCATGTCCCGATCATTTTGGCTTCTGGACAAGTCACTCGAGTAACCTCAGCAGCGCCCAATAGCGCCTGGAATTACGAGGTGGGTCATTGAAAGAGTATTTGCAAAATTGATCGCAGAGAATCCGAAGGGACCCGTAGACAGTCCAACTCGTCTTCACTGCATCGTGGCGGTTTCGCACCAGAGATAGTTAAGAGGAGGAGGAGGGTGAGGAGGAGGAGGAGGAGGAGGAGGAGGGGCAGAGGAGGAGGAGGAGGAGGAGGAGGTTAAGGAGGCGGCGACAGAGGAGGCGGAGGCGGTGGAAGCAGAAGCGTTTGACGCATGCTATCTCAAAACGGCTGCTCGCGCATCAGCCCCAGCTAAGACACCCAGAGCGCGAAGCGCCAGCTCTTAGACCTGGTGGCTGGAGCGTGAGACGGGGCGCTATTGTAGGTGGCAGTCATTCTCTCACCTGATTTGAGCCGCTTGCAACATACCGCTGGCAAAAAGGAGGAGGAGGAGGAGGGGGAGGAGGAGGATGAAGGAGGCAGTCGCCATGAAGGAAGGGGGTGGTGAAGGAATCGGGTGCAGACCCTGGAACTTTCCCCAGGGCAAGCTCTTCATCCTGTCCAGCTTTTGATTGTCCGGAGCTCCGTGGGTGGGGGACCGTGGGACCGAAAGTGGCACACAAAATCCCAGGGCGCTTCTCTGCCAGGAACCGCTTCCGTCGTGCTAGGAGGAGGAGGAGGAGGAGGAGGAGGAGGAGGAGGAGGAGGAGGAGGAGGAGGAGCGGGTGCAGCTCCGGTCGGTGGAGGAGAAGATGGAGGCCCACGAGAAGTGGCTGGCGCAGCAGGAGCTCCGGCAGGCCGCCAGGGCGGTCCAGGAGGAGAGGGAGCTGAAGAGGGCGTACCGGCAGCAGCGCAACGCGGCCGAGGCCGGGTCGCCAGCAGGGTCGTGGAAACGCAGGTCGAGGAACAAAGAAACCATAAGCATAAATTTTTGGAGGTCTGCGCGGATTTCTTGGACCCGCGCTGGAACCCCCTCCCCGGCGCGCGGAGCGCGCCAGGGGCGGCGCCGGAGGTGCCGCAGGGGGGACCCAGCGCAGATCCAAGAAATCTGCGCGGAGCGCCAAAAGTTTATCTTTATTGTATTTTTTTCTTCGGGTAGGACTAGAGTTTATCAGGACTCCCATCCTGGGTTTTGACGGTCCAGTTTTCGCAGGATGGTTGCAGTGGGAGCTCGCTTGAAATTTCATATTAGGGTTAATAATTTGCTTGACGGCCTCACCAGGCCAACCCGAGTCCCCAGGACCCGAGTCATATTTCTTCCTGAAAGGAGGGGTTCTTGCAAGGTTCGAGATGCTTGGGGGAGTTCGTCGTCTTCTCTTGGCCTCCACGGAGGTCCTTGTCGCCACGGCTGGATTCTCCTTCTTGGGCCTCGTTTTTGAAATTCTGGACAGAGCGCATCCCAGGACAGGTCTGGGAAGTCGATTTGAGACCGCGAGACTAATTAGATTTCAGCACGATGAACCCGATCCAGTTGAGGGGTGTCCCGAGGTTTTTCAGCATTTTTGGCTTCCCCGGGACCCGTAACCCGCCGTTGCTGATTCTTGGGGTTACATGCTTGCACTGATCCTCCTCCTCCTCTTCCTCCTCCTCCTCCTCTTCTTCCTCCTCCTCCTCCTCTTCCTCCCTCTACCCCCACCCTCCTCCTCCCCCTCCTCCTCGTAACCGTCGCTCTTCTTGAGGAAGGCCACGCCTGGTTCTTTCAGGACGCGTTTCTTTCACACAAGCGATGGCCACGTCAACTCCGAAACCGCGGCGTATCGTTCCGGGGTAGAGGCTGGCAGCCTGAGACTTGCACCACAGCGATGTTTGGTTCTCAGGCTGTCAATGCCATGGTTGATCTGTGTTGGAAACTTGGTTATGCGGGGAGTTTTGGTTGGGGCGGCGCATATGTAATATGATAATACAGGTGCTCTACCTTGGGCTCAATGAGAACAGAAATCTCGTGCGTACCGCAAGGGGACAAGCTTGCTTGCTCTTGACTTGAAGTACGACTGCCAGGTGTGAGCGCATGGCCTGTCGACCCTGCGGGTCTGAGAAATGTTTGACGGAGACAGCCGCGCTTCACGCTTCGCGGTCATACATCCCTCCGCGTAATTTAGTACAAGTTTTTCCCGCGCCGCGTCGGCACCTCCAGTCCCCAGATTTCAATGTTGATGCCGAGACACCAGGCTTGATTTTTTCCGTCGGCGTCCGCGGAACGCGCGGCGCGCGCAACTGAACATTACAATTGGGGGCGCGGGGGGGGGAATTTGCGTTAAGTTTCGCGGAGGGTTGTAGAGTCATAGTTGCGTTTACCGCTCCGCTCGGTGCGAAGCTCCAGGTTTCCCAAGTAAGGCCGAAGCAGCGGGGGGTCAGAGGATCGCGCCGCGCCAGCGATGCGGATCATCCCCATGCCCGAACTTTTTCATCCGACGTTCGCCCGACGCATTGCTGCAGTATCGATTATCTGAATCGATCTTTCGACCCTATTTGCTCTGGTCCTATCTAGGAGGTCTCCTGGAGTCAGGAGGAAGCATATAGGGTCTCACACAAACAAACAAAAACGTCGATGTTCCGGCAAATACGTGAATTGGGGGAGACGAGCATCCATGAAGTGTTGGATATATATATATATATATATATATATATATATATATATATATATATATACGTACATACATACGTATGTATATGTGGGAATTCCGGAAATGTGTTGTCATTCATGTGTTTCTTTGGGCCCTTTTTATGACGCGCGGTTGATGTGTTTCGACCGTGTCTGGCACTGACGGGTCGCTGGCAGCTCCCCCGCGAGGCTGAGTTCACGTCGAAGCTCTGGACGCAGGCCGATGAGCTCCGCAGCACCGCAGAGAAGTCGGCGACCCTTCTTCCGCGCGAGGACATTCCGCGCACCGCTGACCAGTTAGCGTGGGCCTGAAGACTTCGATGTTCGAGATCGTTGCAGGCGTGTTTCCACGCCCTGTAGGTTCTTCTCGAGGCTTCTCGTCGCCATGGCTGCATTTCCGTCGAAACCCCTATCCGAGCGCTTCCCTAGGCAGGTATGGGGCTCGGCTCTTGACCCCCGAACCCAGACGTCGCGTTTCTCGTGTTCGCGCTCCCGGGCTCTGCCCAGGCCGCTGGGGGCCGTCGGAAGACGACCCGGAGGCAGTGCCTGGGGAGTGCTCTCCTGGGTCCAGGAGTCGCCTCCCTCGTGCCGCAAGAGGGGGTTGAGGGCAAGAAGGCCCCGGGTTCAGTCGGGCGTGTCCCACTACAGGAGGAATCTTCAGACACAGTCAACAAAGAAGTCCGGGGATTGTTCGATCATTCCCCGCATGTTTGATGGAGTTCTTGTTCTCCCTGTCCTAAGATGGGGCTCTTGTTATTGCTGTCACCGCGCCGGAAAGACAGTCACACCCACACTTCATTCATCGCTCAGACTCGCACATCACTGAAGCTCAGTCATGCTCTGCCTCGCTCGTTCCCACGCAGACTCACTCACCGCCTAGATGCATCCATCACTCAGACCTCGATTCGCTCATCGTTCAGACAAGTTCATCATTCAGAGTCATTCATGCTTTGCCTTGCTCTTTCTGGCTCAGACACTGTCACACCATTTCATCATTCTGACTCACACTCGCACCCACATTGACTCTGACTCTGAATCGATCGTTTTTTCTCACATCCATCAGTCAGACGTAGACTTGCTCATCGCTGAGAGCCTTCCATCACTCAGCACCATGCATCATTCACTCTCGTTCACACTCCGACTCGGACTCGCTCTTTCTCATCCCGATTACAGGTTAAAACTCACACTGAGACATGATGTGGGTCGTTTTTCCTCATTCAGTCAGACCCATACGAGGCGTTGGTGCTAATTCTGCTGAATGGAGGGCGTCAAGGGGGTATCTCACGGGCCCGTTCGCGCCCAGATTGGGAGGATGTTTCAGGCGGCTTGTCCGTTTGAGCCCCCGACATTTCGTGTTGCCGAGGATGTATCAGGCGAGGCGCTGGTTTCAGCACTCCAAAAAGTGGGCGCCAGGGGGTAGTTCACGGTCCCGTTCGTGACCGGATTGTGGGGATGTCTCAGGCTGTTTGCTTTTTTGCGCCCCCAACATCTCTTGCTGTCGGAGCAGATTGCGAGGATCTTTCAGACGGGGCGCTGGTTTCAGCAGTCCCAAGGGGGGGCGCCACGGGGTATGCGGTTTGCCTGTTTGGGTGTCCGTCGTCGTCGTCGTTGTTGTCGCCCTCGTCGTCGTCGTCGTCATCGTCGTCATTGACAGATACCCATTGAAAGACATTCCAATATAAACAGACGCGTAGATGGGGAGCACCGCGTTGAGTAATTTTCTTCCCGCCCGCGGTGCGCCCGCGTCTCACTCACCCACTCACCTCCCTCCTCCCTCCTCACCTACTCTTCCTCTCTCGCTTCGCCCACGCGCAACACACGCATGGCACGCACATGAGACACGCGTCCACAAGCAGACGCAAGCATGCACACATCCGCACACACATACACACACACACGCACGAACAACGTTAGTGCATGCATGGCGTGTTCTACACCCACGACGTATGCGCCACACACTGGGCACCGCAGGCTCGCGGCGGGCGTGCCCTTTTCTCGACACCAGAGGGGGTGCCGAGAGGGTGCCGTCTCTATGCGTTGCAGGCGCGCAGGGCGCGGCACCCGTGCCATTTTCTGGACACCACAGGGGGTGCGGGGGGTGCGGTCTCTATGCGCTGCAGGCGCGCAAGGCACGACGGGTGTGGCATTGTCTCGACATCAGAGGGGGTGCCCGGGGGGGGCGGTCCTCAAGTCTATGCGTGGCAGGCTTGCAGGGCACGGCATTCGTGGCACTTCTTAGACACCAGAGAGTGTGCGCAGGGAGTGCGGTTCTTATGCGCTGCAGGCTCGCAAAACACGGCGGGCGTGGCACTTTCTCGACACCGGATGGGGGGCGCAGGGGGTGCCGTCTCTATGTGCAGGCGCGCAAGGGGTGCGGTTTCTATGCGTTGCAGGCTCGCAGCACGGCACCCGTGGCACCTTATGGACACGAGAGGAGGGGGGGGGTCGGGGGTGTAACAGGGGCCTGCGTTTTCAATTTTTTTCAAGGCATGCGTTTCAAGGTTTCTGGAGGCCTCGTCGTCGTAGCCGTCGTCGTCGTCGTAGTCGTCGTGGTGGTGATGGTCGTCGTCGACGTTTTTACCCTTGGGACCCCCCCCGGGTCCTGGGGGTGGGGTGGGGACCCCAGGGGGAGAAAAAACAAACATCTGGATTAGTCGATTTTGCGGGGTCCGTTTTTTTTTTCGGGCCGAGAAAACAAAACGGGAGGGGGGGGGTTCTGGGGTCCGCGTTTGTTGGGACTCCCCCCCAGGCCTCCTCCAGGAGAGGAGTGGAGGGAGCGAGGATGCGCCACCCCCCCATTCTCCTCCTCCTCCTCCTCCTCCTCCTCCTCCTCCTCCTACTTCTCCTCCTCCTTCTCCTCCTCCTCCTCCTTCTCCTCATTCTCCCACTCTGGCGAACAATCAGGTGTCGTTGCCTATCCTGCCGGCGCAGGTGCACGATGACACCGTCACGACAACTCTGGACGCCCGAAATGGGTACTGAAAGAATGGGTACAATGCCCAACAGCAGTTCCTGTTCATTTTGAACCGGATTCGCTGTCCACGCCGCCGCCACCTGTGTCCATTCGAGACAGGAGGCCGCCTGCCCAACAGCGGCCGCTCTTGGTTTGGGACAACATTTGCTGTTGGGCATTGTACCCATTCTTTCGGTACCCATTTCGGGCGTCCAAAACAACGCGCGAAGAAGTCGGTCGGAGTCTGGCCGCGCTCCAGAACTACATGGGCAACCTCGGGAATTCCCAGCCCGAGAAGGAGGAGAAGGCTAAGCTGAAAGAGAATTTGTCCCACTTGCGTGCCCACGGCAAGGATGACGACCGTCGTTCAGGTGGGAAGGTGCTCGACGTGACGTACGTCCAGCGCGCTGGGCGCATGTTCGCGGTCGGCCCATCCCAGCAGGGTCAATCCAACAAGGTGCGCGCCGTGGCTGGTGGCGGCCGGACTTTCGACGTCGACTTCGTGACCTCCGTCTTGTCCGTCCTCAAGGCCATCGCCGAAATTGGCGATGTTTCCATGCCTGAGCAGATATGCGACATCGCAGCCTCCCACGACGCGCACAAGGACGTCCTGACGGAACACTACAGCGTGGACGCGAAGGAAATGACATTGACGATCTGCAAAGACGTGTTCGGGGCCAAACAACGGGACGGCAACCTTTTGCCTGTGGTCCGTTGCAGCAGAGTCGCATCAGCTCTCAGCCGAACTGCTGGAAGTCTCAAGGTACTCTCATGTCGCGCACATGTACAGCAATCGCCCGGATCCATTGGCGTCTCGCCATGCGGCCGCTTGCTTCGCTGAGGAGAACCTCTACCTGAAGGTTTTGATGGCAGCCTTGGGGTCGAACCTGCAGTCGTACAACGTTTCCATGCTCATGTTCGTCGGAATGGTGGTCAATTTGCTTGGTGACACCGTGGGCCAGCTGCACGCGGCCCCCGACGCGTTCAACGCGACGCCCCTAGTATTTGCGCGCGCAGCAGTGGCCAGCGTAGATGCTTACGCCGCGTCCAAGGGGGGCGTTTATGCACTCTTTGGGGCTACGCTGATGCGTTTAGGGGAGCGTTGTGTTTGACCAGCCCGGCATGCCTTTCGCCGCGCATTGAATCGACGCAGGTGTCGCACCCATGCCCCACCGATGCGTTCAGCCGATGTTGGTCGGACTCGGGGAAGAAGACCTTTGCGACCACGAGCGCGCAACATTGGCACTATTCCCAACCATCCTGTGGTGTTGGGTCCTCGTTTTGAAGAGACGGTGGTCCGCGTCTCCTCCTCCTCTCTCCTCTCCTCTCCTCTCCTCTCCTCTCCTCTCCTCTCCTCTCCTCTCCTCTCCTCTCTCCTCTCCTCTCCTCTCCTCCTCCTCCTCCTCCTCCTCTCTCCTCCTCCTCCTCCTCCTCCCTCCTCCTCCTCCTCCTCCTCTCCTCCTCCTCCTCCTCCTCCTCCTCCTCCCTCATCATCATCGTCATCACCCATTTCGGCACACCCCTCACACGCTTCGTGCCCCACTCCACCGAAGGCCCCATCCGTCCATGCGTCCCGCACACCCATTTCGGCACACCCCTCACACGTTTCGTGGCCCCATAGGGAGCTCCCGTGACCGACAGGCCCCAGGGAGCTCCACCGAAGGCCCCAGTGCTGCGTCCGCATGCGTCCCGCACACCCATTTCGGCACACCCCTCACACGTTTCGTGGCCCCATAGGGAGCTCCACCGAAGGCCCCATGGCTGCCGTCCGCATGCGTCCCGCACACCCATTTCGGCACACCCCTCACACGTTTCGTGGCCCCACAGGGAGCTCCACCGAAGGCCCCAGTGCTGCCGTCCGCATGCGTCCCGCACACCCATTTCGGCACACCCCTCACACGTTTCGTGGCCCCACAGGGAGCTCCACCGAAGGCCCCAGTGCTGCCGTCCGCATGCGTCCCGCACACCCATTTCGGCACACCCCTCACACGTTTCGTGGCCCCATAGGGAGCTCCACCGAAGGCCCCATGGCTGCCGTCCGCATGCGTCCCGCACACCCATTTCGGCACACCCCTCACACGTTTCGTGGCCCCACAGGGAGCTCCACCGAAGGCCCCAGTGCTGCCGTCCGCATGCGTCCCGCACACCCATTTTCGCATGCGTCCCGCACACCCATTTCGGCACACCCCTCACACGTTTCGTGGCCCCATAGGGAGCTCCACCGAAGGCCCCATGGCTGCCGTCCGCATGCGTCCCGCACACCCATTTCGGCACACCCCTCACACGTTTCGTGGCCCCACAGGGAGCTCCACCGAAGGCC